CATTGGTATGCCTGTGGTGCGGACGGACTCTCGGGCGGTCGGGCGGTCGGGCGGTCGGGCGGTATACAGTCACGTGATTACCAAATTTTCTCGGATGGGTAGTTTACCACATTTTATTACCCATGGTGCTCCGTTGAGCGCGCTTCGAACACGAGAGCTCCGCTACAAAACCCGTTTTTAAGGCCTTCAATAGCATTGTTGCACTCTTTTCGTCAGACAGCGTGATCAAATAAGAGTTTTTAGGGGCGAGTAATCTTAGCAGCAAGACGCTTAAGTGCCATATTTCGTTAATTATTTACTGTCAAACCCATGTGTGTCATGTACCATCTGTTGTAAATGACCTTTGATCTCAAATTTACGCCTCCTCTGAGAAAGCGCCGGCATACGATGCTGCTAATGAGGGCGCTAGAAAAGCAATTGCAAGTTATTAACGGTCTTTCTTGATCTTCTTACAATCTACGTCCCAATATTATACTCGCCAATTTTTTGTGAGTCAAATGCGTGAGATTTTCACTTTTTCATGACCGGGATTTCCGGAAACGTCCCGGTGAATGCCGAATATTTGCGACGAATTTCCGAAGACTTCCGAACGTTACCGAAATTTAAATGTACGCAGATATTCCGGAGGACCTTGGAGCACTTCCGAAGCTACTTAAAAACGACAATTTTAGCGTGCTTTGATTGCATTAGAACCAAGAAAAGGACACAAAGTCATCATGTTTTTAAGAATAATTTGTCCGGATTTGTGAGTCAGGCGTGAGAAATTGTCCTCGATACGTGAGATTGATGTCTTTAGTCCACAGGCATAATGCGTATACAATATTCTGAAGATATAAATTTTGATTGGCTTATTTAATGGCTGGAAAAGACTTGAGAAATGGAGGCCCACTTGAAATGCTTATATGTACAATAGCAAAACTGATAAAAAAATTTGGTACAATTGCATGAGTTTTCGAATTTGTGTTTAATTTACATCACATGTGCCTTTCAAGCTAAATGTCGCATCAAAAATATACAAATAAGTTTCATCGTTAATCATTAAAAAACATTTAACTGACAACTAACAAAAAGCCTAAAATGTAGCTGACAACTGACAAATGGCCACAATTTTAACTGACTGCTGACATTTGTACCCCCCTCCCCCCCCAAATCCAGACCCTCTTTTAGTAACTTATGTAATAACCCAAGGCTAGGTATTTACAAGGTTATTTTATTTCCTAATTTTTTGAACAGTAATTATCACGATCCTGTTTCTAACGAAAAAACCAGAGAGCTCTTGAGTTTTATTTTGTTCTTTTAAGAAAAAAAAAAGTTGCAATCAGACTCGAGGTCGTTCAGTTTTTTAAGCTTACGCCGAATATTAATGAGCCTGCTGAAACAATTCACTGACGATTTTATTTAGTATTTAGCCCTGCAGCCAAAAGGAAGTCTTAACAGTGGGCGCCCAAATAACATGTCAAACTGTGTGGGTTGAACTGTTATGTTCTTATAAGATGTAAAATGAAGACTTCACCGACTGACAACTATACTAGTTTCTTATAGCTATATAACGGACCGGACATGTTAATTCTGACAAAATACAGTCGAAATTCTCCTTGCGACCACTCTCGTTTTACAAGCGACCAGCTCTAGTGTAACTTAACGAGGATTAGCATGAATTAACAGCTACAATCATGGACAAAAGTCTTGGGACACTTTTGCGTTTCTGGGGCGTTTTCCAATTCATACAGGTCCAAACCCTCCCCTCACCCCACAAACAATGTTGGACGCGTGTATCCAGAATTTTGTCCGAGTTTTAACTTTGTATAGGGTGGGGGGAGGGAGAACTGCAAAAAAAATTCGAAAATGATGTACTGTTTTAAGAGGGAACCGAGAAATGACAGAAAAATATGAATATTGCAGCACTGTCCCAGGGATAATTGTGAAGGAATGCATAGAAGACCAACTCGATCAACAGATGATCATGAGTTGCCTTAGTGTTTCTTTCACAGCCTGCCTCACTTGCCTCATCTTCCAACAGTACAGAAAGGGGTTTAAAGATGAGTTTAAGTAAACGATGGTAGCCGCATAATTTCGAGCAAGGTAGTTCGATAAAGGCATCCCTCTCTGAGGTGTCAAAGCGACCGCTATACCAAACGGCAGATAACAAACAATCAATGTTACCTGTACCCACAGTGCACTGTTCACTGCCTTTCTGTATCGAGCTATGTTAAGTGGAATTGCTCGGCTTGGTTGTCCTGGAAAAACATGGCTCTGAGCAGGGTTAACGTGAATTTGGTTGTGACGTAGAGTGAGGAAAATTTTTGTGTAAGCGAAGATTGTGGTGACTAGACACAGAGCTATATTTATGTATGCACACCATGAAGTTATAAGAGGATTCGAAAAATAAGTGCAGGCACCAACGATGCACAAAATCCATAAAGCAATCACAGTTATAAACGTTCTTCTCAAAGTTACAACTTGTCTGTATCTGAGCCCCAGTAACAAGGCGAGAAGTCTGTCCACACTTATTGCAGTCAATGTTAATAAAGATACTGAACACAAAATATAACCTGAGATAGTTGCTGCCCAATTTGCGTGATAGCAAATATCCCATCTTTTTTTCACAACAAAAGTAAAGTAAGTCCCATACGAAGGCTCCGCAATGATACCAACACAGAGATCAGTTATCGCTAGGTTACGATACAGGAGTTTGGACGGCGGATGAATTGAAGTTTCCTTGTGCAGGGCCACTAGGATCAGAGTGTTCCCCAAAAATGCTGCAATGGACAGAAAAATATTTAGAGATGAGAGAAGGATAAGTTCGCCATCTACACCTCTGATTAATTCCACCGAGCAGTACAGTTCACTGACTGTTTTCTTGTTTTCATATTCGGTGAAATTTGTCAGTGCCATATTCCTCTGCGAAGCTGAGCCGTGAAGTGAGGGCTTTATTTATCCATCTATTTCAATTAAGGTTGCTTCGGTGAAGAATGATGAATGATGCATGATTCACGTTTCATAACTATATACTTTAATTTGTTGCGTATTGATAAACAATGATCAGCAGTCATTTATGGAGTCATAAACGTGCAAAAACTATTAACTAAACGTAAAAAAAAAGCTCACAGGGCCAAAGTTGTCTCGATACTTTTCCAATCTAACTGACCGAACTATGAGCCAGGTGTCATGTCACAGGAAACTTAAACTCAAGGATGATTTCAATAACTTTTTAGGTCTTATATTGGCGGCGCATTGATAGCTTGACGTCGCAGTAAATACAATTTGAAGGAAACTCCGATAATTAAGTTTTTTTAAAGTTTACGATAAGCTTTAGCCATCACTCCTTCCCAAAAATTAAGCGATATACTGTATATACACCTAACTGCAATTGCGTTGTCATAGTTAAATCAGCTAAAAGAAACTGAAATTAAAAATGCAAAAAACAAATCGAAATTAGTTAGGCTTACCAGTAAACCACTAAAGATGGTGAATTTATTTTCAACATACGCGTGCTGTCTTCGCTTCTAAGCCCCAAAAACGCCTATGCAGCAAATGAATGCTCCCTTTCTGACTCCTTTCTAGATTTATTAGCAGGCCTAATTAATTCCTATCTGGCTTTATCTATTTTCATTTTCCCTTTACCATCAGGTGTATATGCACTACGTACTGACCACACGTATAGTTAAGATGGCTGGAAAAATATATCCACATAGAAGCTACTTAAAAACGACAATTTTAGCGTGCTTTGATTGCATTAGAACCAAGAAAAGGACACAAAGTCATCATGTTTTTAAGAATAATTTGTCCGGATTTGTGAGTCAGGCGTGAGAAATTGTCCTCGATACGTGAGATTGATGTCTTTAGTCCACAGGCATAATGCGTATACAATATTCTGAAGATATAAATTTTGATTGGCTTATTTAATGGTTGGAAAAGACTTGAGAAATGGAGGCCCACTTGAAATGCTTATATGTACAATAGCAAAACTGATAAAAAAATTTGGTACAATTGCATGAGTTTTCGAATTTGTGTTTAATTTACATCATATGTGCCTTTCAAGCTAAATGTCGCATCAAAAATATACAAATAAGTTTCATCGTTAATCATTAAAAAACATTTAACTGACAACTAACAAAAAGCCTAAAATGTAGCTGACAACTGACAAATGGCCACAATTTTAACTGACTGCTGACATTTGTACCCCCCTCCCCCCCCAAATCCAGACCCTCTTTTAGTAACTTATGTAATAACCCAAGGCTAGGTATTTACAAGGTTATTTTATTTCCTAATTTTTTGAACAGTAATTATCACGATCCTGTTTCTAACGAAAAAACCAGAGAGCTCTTGAGTTTTATTTTGTTCTTTTAAGAAAAAAAAAAGTTGCAATCAGACTCGAGGTCGTTCAGTTTTTTAAGCTTACGCCGAATATTAATGAGCCTGCTGAAACAATTCACTGACGATTTTATTTAGTATTTAGCCCTGCAGCCAAAAGGAAGTCTTAACAGTGGGCGCCCAAATAACATGTCAAACTGTGTGGGTTGAACTGTTATGTTCTTATAAGATGTAAAATGAAGACTTCACCGACTGACAACTATACTAGTTTGTTATAGCTATATAACGGGCCGGACATGTTAATTCTGACAAAATACAGTCGAAATTCTCCTTGCGACCACTCTCGTTTTACAAGCGACCAGCTCTAGTGTAACTTAACGAGTATTAGCATGAATTAACAGCTACAATCATGGACAAAAGTCTTGGGACACTTTTGCGTTTCTGGGGCGTTTTCCAATTCATACAGGTCCAAACCCTCCCCTCACCCCACAAACAATGTTGGACGCGTGTAACCAGAATTTTGTCCGAGTTTTAACTTTGTATAGGGTGGGGGGAGGGAGAACTGCAAAAAAAATTCGAAAATGATGTACTGTTTTAAGAGGGAACCGAGAAATGACAGAAAAATATGAATATTGCAGCACTGTCCCAGGGATAATTGTGAAGGAATGCATAGAAGACCAACTCGATCAACAGATGATCATGAGTTGCCTTAGTGTTTCTTTCACAGCCTGCCTCACTTGCCTCATCTTCCAACAGTACAGAAAGGGGTTTAAAGATGAGTTTAAGTAAACGATGGTAGCCGCATAATTTCGAGCAAGGTAGTTCGATAAAGGCATCCCTCTCTGAGGTGTCAAAGCGACCGCTATACCAAACGGCAGATAACAAACAATCAATGTTACCTGTACCCACAGTGCACTGTTCACTGCCTTTCTGTATCGAGCTATGTTAAGTGGAATTGCTCGGCTTGGTTGTCCTGGAAAAACATGGCTCTGAGCAGGGTTAACGTGAATTTGGTTGTGACGTAGAGTGAGGAAAATTTTTGTGTAAGCGAAGATTGTGGTGACTAGACACAGAGCTATATTTATGTATGCACACCATGAAGTTATAAGAGGATTCGAAAAATAAGTGCAGGCACCAACGATGCACAAAATCCATAAAGCAATCACAGTTATAAACGTTCTTCTCAAAGTTACAACTTGTCTGTATCTGAGCCCCAGTAACAAGGCGAGAAGTCTGTCCACACTTATTGCAGTCAATGTTAATAAAGATACTGAACACAAAATATAACCTGAGATAGTTGCTGCCCAATTTGCGTGATAGCAAATATCCCATCTTTTTTTCACAACAAAAGTAAAGTAAGTCCCATACGAAGGCTCCGCAATGATACCAACACAGAGATCAGTTATCGCTAGGTTACGATACAGGAGTTTGGACGGCGGATGAATTGAAGTTTCCTTGTGCAGGGCCACTAGGATCAGAGTGTTCCCCAAAAATGCTGCAATGGACAGAAAAATATTTAGAGATGAGAGAAGGATAAGTTCGCCATCTACACCTCTGATTAATTCCACCGAGCAGTACAGTTCACTGACTGTTTTATTGTTTTCATATTCGGTAAAATTTGTCAGTGCCATATTCCTCTGCGAAGCTGAGCCGTGAAGTGAGGGCTTTATTTATCCATCTATTTCAATTAAGGTTGCTTCGGTGAAGAATGATGAATGATGCATGATCCACGTTTCGTTTCGTTTCGGTCCAACCGGAAAAGTTTCGAAAAAACGGGTTTACCTTTTGAGGTGGACCAATTTTCTCGTCGGACCGGTTGGAATTTTGGTTGAATGGATCGCGCCCGAGTTTTATTTTGTTTTTAAAAGTCGTAGTCAGGGTTTAGCAAAAACAATGAAGTGTTTCAAGCTGACACCGAACTTTAATGAGCCTGTTGAAACTAACTCCTTGACGATTTTAATGAGTTTTCAGTAGTAAAGGAAGTGTTGACAGTCAGCAAACACGTCAAACTGTGTGGGCTGCGGTAATTTTGTTGTCTGTTATGGATGTGCAATAATGACCTTTGTCAATTCTCCTTGTTTTAATTTTTATTAACTTTTTCTACAAACTTTTGAGGAAAAAAATTAATTCTGTTTTTAGTCGTACCACACAAGGCCTGAAAAGGATTCAGCAAAGTTGTCTAGTTTTTCAAACAAACATTAGTCGAACTATAATGAGCCAGGTGAAACTGACGTACGGGCCATTTTAATGACTTTTTAGGTCTTAATATGTTGTCGGTGCAAAAAGTCTGTATGACGTTTTCTTCATTACCATGGCTGTAAGTTCCAGCAATTCGGCCAATTCAACACATTAAGCTGCATTCTAATATGTTTGAGTCATCAGAATTTTCCTCGCAGAACGTAATACTTGTGAGTTATTAACCCTATTGAGATAGCTGGAAAAAGAAACTTAGGAAGAGCCTTTAGTTTTTGGGTATGTTATGAAAAGCAAAACGCGCACTGTTGAAAACTTGATAACGACATCTCGTTTAGTAAACAGTCGACTGGGCGATACTTGTTATGTACTTCAACACCAAAGTTAATGAATTAAATTGCTAATCGTGCGCTGCCAGCTTTGACAGACGTGTGCATAGAGTTTCGGGGCTTGTAGAAAGGAAGTCTTAACAGTCCAAACATGTCAAACTGGTTTGTTTATAATTTTCGGGTCGGTTGAGATAGGTTTCGATTGAGTGAGCCCCATAACTATCAATAATAATTAGGTATAAAATACAGATATCCACTCTAACTTGCAACTAAGAAAAATTTTCTTTAGAATAGTTTTGATTATAGCTCATGTCTTTTTTTTAAAACGAGCGTTCCTAATTATTTTAAACATCTGCCGACTTCTTTTTATGTCAATATATCTTTTATAGCCCAGTATATAAAAATTCACGACACATATAGATTCTTGTTATTTTATTCGTATTTTTAATTGTCCAACTCATCCTTTACTAAAGCAAAATAACGATATCTATAAGGACACACGTTTCGTTTAAGTGAACGAAACCCCATAACTATCAATAATGCTTGAGTATAGAGTAAAGATATTCACTATGGCAACAATATTTTTTTACCAATTTCGATTATCACCTCAATTTGTCTTCCTTTAATAAAGCGGCCCTAACCATTTTAAACACCTGCTGGCTGC